CAGCTCGGCGATCATCATGAAGAGAGGGTGGTAGACGGTGAGGGCAGAGATGTGAGGCGGGACATTACGGCACATAGGACAATGGGAGGAGGTGAGGAGAGGGGTCACAAGTGACGAATGATAGGGTAGGAATGATTAGGGGTGGTAAATTAAGGGTGGTATATTAGGAGTCGTAACTTCAGGGTGGTACATTAGGGGTGGAAAATTAAGGGTGGTATATTAGGGCTGGAAAATTAAGGGTGATAGATTAAACCACCAGTACATCCGAGCCTGTTTTTTCCCAACACTGAGTTTCACTGCGCACCGAGTTTTGCCGAGCCAGGGTCGTGCATCTAAGAACAACAACCAAAAAAAAAAAAAAAAAAAAAAAGAAGAAGAAAAAAAAACTTCCTCGACGCCGTGATAATCATCAGATACATTCTATGATGTGCTACTGTGACTGTGGCCCTCAGTGAGGGCGTCTATCACAGACAGCAAGTAGGGGAAAAAAAAAAAAAAAAAAAGCACCCCTTATGCTGTGATTGCGGTCCGATACAGGAGATGCTACAGTACTTGTCTGTAACTGAATGAAGCGAGGCAGTTAGCTGCCTCGCGTTGAATCCGCCCTGCCTAGCTGGCAGGGCGCTACAAGGACCTCACAACAAAAAGCAAAAAACAAAAACAACATGACCCATGGTCCTCACATACTCGCCAGATACATTCCTCAAAGCACTGCTGTAAATTCCACCTACGTGAGGGTCTTCCCGTCGTCGGTGGATTCATTATAGTTCTTCGTTTCTTTTCTTTTTCTTTTCTTCTTTTTCTTACCTTTTCTTTTTTTAGCCTCCATTCCTGCCCCCAGCCTCCGCAACTTTCCTGATGAGTCGTTTTCAATATTTTTGTTGGCCTGGGCGGTGTACTTGTGGTTTAAGAGGTTGGGGGAATGATAGGGGATACAAAGAGGTTAGGGGGATGATAGGGGGGACACTGGGAAGGTTGGGAGGTGGGAAATGAGGGTGAGAAAAAGAAGTGTGATGGCCATGCACGCACCGATCGCCATGGGATGTGGCGGGTGGAAGGTGATGGACAAGAGGTGCGGCGGAGTAGGTGGTGGTCGATAACGAACCGGTGGTTCATAAGAGTGTATTAGAGAAGGTACATTTTGTATATGGGGAAGGGGTGGTAAATTAAGGGTGGTATATTAGGGGTGGAAAATTAGGGGTAGTAAATTAGGGGTGGAAGGATACGATGTGGAAAGTGATGGAACGAGGGAGATGATAGCAAACGAGAAGCGCGAGAGATCATAGCTATCGTCTTCCCCCGAGCACAGCGGACCCTAAGATTGAATGTATAGAAGCTAACTTTCCGGTCCCATGCAGTCATGATGAGGATCCGTTACGGTAATAGGAGATGATGAGACGCGGGGGAGATAATGCGAGGTGAGAGAGGCGAGTGATTATGAGGACAGGAGGAAGAAGAAGTCGAAAAGATTGGCCAGTTAGGGGTGATAGGATGTGATCTGAAGATTAGGGAGAGGATAGTAAGTGAGAAGTGCGAGATGATCGGTAGGAGATGATGATGATAGAGTAGATACCGGAGAAATGATTATGAGAGTCGAAGAAACAAGAAGTCCAAGAGTGGTAAATCAGGAGTAGTAGGATGTGGAAAATCGAGGGATAAAGGAGAAGGTACACACACACACACACACACACACACACACACACACACATGCACCGGCACACGCTCTCTCTCTCTCTCTCTCTCTCTCTCTCTCTCTCTCTCTCTCTCTCTCTCTCTCT